GGTGCAGCTCCCTCATGTTGGGCTTCCCGAAGTGGGGTGCCCAATGGGGCACCCGGGCGTGGAGCAACAGGGCGTGGTGCTCCTTGATGTCCAGGATGTGGAGCTCCTTGGGGTGCTCTATGTTGTGCACCTCCGTGGGGCCCTCCATGTTGTGCACCTCCATGTGGTGCTCCACGTTGTGCACCTCCGTGTGGTGCTCCACGTTGTGCACCTCCGTGTGGTGCTCCACCTTGGGGTCCTCCATGTTGTGCACCTCCGTGTGGTGCTCCTCCTTGTCCAGCAAGTATGAGTTGCAGTAACTGTTAGTTTTGAGCAACCAGTTGCTGCATGGTCTCCAATATTTGTTGGGGATTCGGGGCTAGAGTATCCGGAACAGGGTTGATAGGTGGGGGAGCAACCTCCTCCTCTCGTGGAGGATTGTCTTCGTGTTGGTTCATGGATCGAGTAGTGATCGTTATTAGTTAATGGATGTAATGTTCAGGAGTGAGAATTTTGTCGAATTCCCATAGACGGCGCCAAACTGATGATGCACAAAAATGGTTTTGCACACCACCTGTCAAGTGTAGATAATAAATGCAATGAAACCAATGAAAAAATTAAAGAAGACACAATTTATAGTGGTTCGGTCAATTCGACCTACGTCCACTCTTCAATGGCTTCAGTTGCCGGGAATTTTATTGATTCAACGGTATGGAGAATGGAGATACAAGCTTTGAGAGAGAGAATGGAGAATCAAAAAAAATAGTAATCTCCGGTAGTCGGTTCGTCTTCTGTAAGTCTCTGGTGGGGCGTGATCTCTCTCTTCTATCAGATTGGAGCTATTTTATAGCAGCTAAGAGATCATCCTCGTGGAGATCATGACATATCCTCAAGGCTTCTTTATCGCAGCTAAAAGATTATTCTTGGTGGAGATCACGACTTATCCTCAACGGAAGGAGGAGGTTGGGGAGCTCTTCATGAAACGTGGTCAAAGATAGGACCGTTTCCTTCGGTGGTGCAGATAAGCTTACCGTGCTCTCCTCTTGATGACGTGCTAAGCAAGAAGTCTAACCGGTCTTGGACTGTCTTGGACTTGGTGGATTTGGACCGTTTCCTTTGGTGGTGCAGATAAGCTTCCCGTGCTCTCCTCTTGATGACGTGCTAAGCAAGAAGTCTAACTGGTCTCGGACTGTCTTGAGCTTGGTGGAATCAAAATGAGGTTGGGCTCCTCAACTGGGGTTGGACTTTAACACATAAATTAGACTATTTGGGCTTAACCCATCATTACATATATAAGGTTTTTTTTATGACGAATAACCTCTTCAAATAAGAGTCGCATTACACTCATTCCTACAGAATTAAATTTTTGAGTTATCTGCTACTCACAAGTATTTTTTACTCAAATTACTAGTGAAAATTGAACTCAAGATATCCGAGTTTAAGTCTACAATATAAGACTACCCGTTCCGGTTACACGAATTTGTTTTGAAAGAATGACAGGCACTAGTTTTAAGCAAAAGTTATATTGGGGTATGAATAGCCAGTCAATAAAGTGTGATTCTTTGAATATGTTTGAGGGGAAAAAGAGAGAGAGAGAAGGAAGAAAGTTGAAGATAAAGAGCAAACAATGGACAATTCACCACACAAAAAAAATGCATTTACAAAGTGGAAGATTACAGGGTTCTTATCATGCCCACTTGAATATTGGAGGGCCCTAAGCACCTTTGCAATTTGTATTCCACACCAATTATAGAAGAGCAGTGATCCCATGCCGTAGGGCAGCATTGAAAAACTGAGCAACAAGGGCATCCTGCTCTTTCAAATGGTGTTTTTGCACCCCACACACACGTCAATGACAAATGACGAGTCCAATACAAAATTAGCAGATTGTGATAAACTATTTCTAATTATACACCAAAAAATAACATGACCCGCAATCATAAATAGAGAGTTTATAAACGAATTATGATATTGTCAGGTGTTGGTTTTGTTGAGAGAGAAGGAGATCTTAATCTTAGTGTTCGGTCTATATGTTATAGTGTCATTTCGAACAGGACAATTTTAACAAATACATCAAGTTAGTGTCAATTCACTTGACATAATTAATTAAATAATAATGAAAATAAACCTGAAGTGATACGATAATCCAAGACTCATTTGACACCGTAATGTAATTTATGTCTTCTTTCAAGTCCAGAAAGAAACAACTTAATTGGATCCAGTGTCACAAAAGTTCATATGAAATCCAAAGAACAATAGAAAATCCATAAGATTGTTTTAAATGAATGATTTTGTTCCCCAGCTGGCTAATTATCTGTTGGTAATAATGAGTGTCTCATATTCACTAGGTTCAAAATCAATAGACTAGTGGGCACAGCAGAGCGCAGCGAAGTGGAGTTTAATACAACGTAATGGAGTGATGTATCTGTCAGAGGTGTTTTATCAGAATTTAGCATGTCAAATTTACTAGAACTAACCTTTCTAGTTGGTAACATCAGTGTTTATATTTAGTAGATGATATCTTAGCAGCACTGTCAGTTTCCATCTTTTCAAAATATACAAGTAAGTTGCCATCTGTTAACCACCAGACAACAAGTTTAAGTCTAAACTGATAAATTAAATTACTTATTATGAGCAGAACTTGTAGCAGTTTAGGCCACACAAAAGGATAAATTACTAGTCTGAGAGGGATAACTAGCCAATGTAATAGAATAGAGGAGTTCCACAGAGGAAAGCAAGATTCTGAGAAGATTGCTTAAATTTTGTGGTCATCAACTTGAAGAAACCATAGTTAAAAGAACAAATAGCTCGCAAATAGCTAAGGCAGGGTCGCATTGAACCAAACCCTTAGGTGGTGTTTGGATCACCATGGGAGGATTGGATTTAAATTCGAATCCAATCCAACCCAATGTAAAGTGGTCCGGTTTGGAGGATTCCTAATGTAATGTATCAACTCCTATCCCATCTTTGGATAGAACCATTTGATTTTTGAGTCCCATTCACATGTGAAGATAAAAGATACTAAAATAACTATTGCACCCTTGTATAAATAAATGTAATTCAATCTTATACTAAGTTTAGAATGGAATGAAAAAAGTCCAATCCAATAATATTATCTAATGTAGGGAAAAAGAATTTTGATTCAATAAATTTATGTATTTTTACAATATAATGCAAAAAATATGTTTATAATTTATTTAATTTAATTTGTACAATACACAATTAATCACAAAAATCATATGCATCATGCATTCAAAAAAAATGTAGAACACAAAGGCATAATTTGTGTTTGACTCTAAAAAAAATTCAAAAAAATTGATCACAAATATATTTGATCTTGTCAAAATATTATAACAAATTTAGTAAACAAAGACAAAACAAAAAATAAATAAATAAATAAGAGATAGACAGAACAAAAAAATAACACTGAAGATGGTGGTTGGAGCTCCCATCTACGGAGAGAGAGAGAACCAAAAAAAATAAAACCGAAGCTGGTGGGTGTAGCTCCCATTGACAGAGAAAGAGAGATGAAAAGAAACAAGGAGAGAGAGAGAGAGAGAACAGAAAAAAGAATAAAAAAAATTTAATCTATTGGAAAGTTCACAGCGGCAAGGAAAGGGAGAAAGAAAGAGAGAGAGAGAGAGAGAGCCAAAAAAATAAAATCAAAGATGATGGGTGTAGCTCCCGTTCAAAGAGAGAAAGAGAGATAACACAGTGGCAGCTGGCTGCAGAATTACTTACTGAAGAAAACTGTTGAGCAGGTAGGATAGTAAATTGCTCTTCAATCTTGTTGGCAAACAAAGTATCCCACGCCATCTGTGGATTTAAAATATCTAGCTCAGAGCAGATATTTAAGATTATTTACTACAAGCAAGCCGAGGAGAATGAGGAGAATAAGCCCAACGATTATCCCATGAGATTTTTTGCATCCAAAGCTGGTATATGTGGATTCTAGGACTATTTTAACCCAATCTCCCACTAATCCCGCCAAACAAACCCCACTTTAGAGAATAACTCATTAATTACAAATATTGGGGGCCGCACTTGTACAGAGTAATTCATTGATTTGTATCTTGTAAATGTAGGAAGAGTAATACTACATGGACTTAAAAATTAGATTTGATAATTATATAGTGAGTCTCAATAAATATTGGGACCCACAGTAAAATTAATGATTGTAATTATCAAGTCTAATTTGTAAGTCCACGTAATATTGCTTATTTGGGAATCACGTTCATGGCACCCACTGCTATTAAATCACCATCCCAAAGTTAAACTGGTACTCCTTGTTGCAACCAGAGCAATTGCACTGTACTTAATTATGTGTCGTTTTCGGGTATTTGAGTCTATATTTTTTTATGCCTTAGGCTCGACCTTGTAGTGTTGATTAGCTAGCAAAAATTTACTAAAACTATAAGTCTTTCAATAAGTTTTTAGGCTTAAACTTAAGATGTCTGAATTTATGGTACCCTAAAGTTCACCCTACACCACTAGACTACTTAGAAGGATTGAAAATATGGAAGTTGCATGCAACCTATGGTGCCAAGAAGGTTTCCTCTATGAATCATATAAGATTGGAATTTGAAAAGAAAAAAAAGAAAAAAGAAAAAGAAAGGGACCACCTATACTGAATCATGCCCATGAACCTAAAAGACAGGCCTCGAAAGGTAAAGAATATTATTTCTGCTTTTCTGGTACATCCGAAAGTTAAAGAATATTATTTCGTATTAGAAACAAACCAACCTTAACATAACCCTTTCCGTACTCAATAGGCTTTTATATAAACCCCTACAATGTACTTGGTCCTTACATAACAACTAGCTCTGTGTTGATAACCTTTCTCTTCTTCTCTTTGTCTTGAAGTTCATTCAAAACTCTACAATTAGCTAGCAAAATGCAAGAAGAGAAGAAGATGAAGGTGAAGAAAGGATGGCTTGCAGTCCGAGTCGGGTTAGGAGACAAAGACGGTGGCTTCCAACGTTTTGTCATCCCTATATCATACCTTCACCATCCTCTCGTCTCTAAACTTTTAGAGAAGGCTCACGAGGTGTATGGATACCACACCACCGGCCCTCTCCGGCTTCCATGTTCAGTCGATGATTTTCTCCATCTACGGTGGCAGATTGAAAAGGAGGCGAATAGCCACCACCATCATCACCACCATCACTACCACCAGTATCACCTTCCTGGTTCTTTATCCTTCCGATCTTGTTAGACTTTATAGAGCAATAGTTGTTGATAACTATAATGATAATGCTACTCGTAAGTTTTCTCTTTATTCTTCCTTTGAAATGGGTAGGAAAATGAATGAAGAGATCAATTATCGAATTTATCATCTAGTTTTTCTATGAATGATAAGTGGAAATTTTCATTTAATTTCGCCTGCTACATCCATAAAGAATTTATTTTTTACAATTTCCAAAGATGTTGAACGGATGATGACAAAGCAAAACATAAGAGAAGAGGCTCCGGTAATCTAACCACCTCTATAGTCCTTCGCTGCTCAGTCTTATTTCATATACTGACTTAAACATCTGAAGCTCTTCGTTGGCCTTTCCAACTAATGAACTCTGTGGACTATTTTGATGTCTTGCAAAGCAAGATGAGCATGTCGATATCGAGCTCTAATTCAAGATTAAGAAGTTTAAGCGATAATAGAAACGAATTTTAAGTTCAAATCTTTTGAATTCAAACTTTGGTAAATTTTTAGGGCCGGCCACGAGAGATTTATCTTCGTGCATACCCTAGTTTTAACGTGGATGATCTATCTTTGATTAAACCGAAAATGAGATTAATCGAAGTGCACGTAAATTGGCCCGAACACCCCTGACCGTTGAACCGATTTTTTTTTTTTTTGTATCATTAGAATATATAATCATTGGTGATTTACTAAGTTGAGGGTGGGCACTAGCCCATAGTGGCTCCGCTGCTAGTGGAAACTTCATTGCATATACAGTAAGACGTAGAGCCAATTTATAAAAATATGATTTATGCACTAAGAAACATATAGACACTTGTAATATAATATAATAACTAAACACATTTTTATTTTTTCAAATACATTTTTTCTTTCTTAGAAAAATTAATTCGCAAATAGTTACGAAAAGGTACATTTCTATACTTGAAAAGTCATTTTCACAAATCAGACAAGTTTATGTAGGATCATTTTGTACACCATCCCAAAAAAAAACAAAAGGTGTTCTCTTTCTTCATTTTTTTCAAATGGAATGATTTAAAAGATGAGCTAGAAAATAATAGGGCCCCGCGCCGATGTCGGGCATGTCTTTAATCAAATTGATGAAAAAATTAATCGAAGTAATACTTACACTTCTGACCGTTAAAATAAAATAAAATAATAGGTCAATGGCAACAAAATAGAAATGATGGGTCAATGCCAACAAAGTGGGTGACTGCACTTGGAATGGTGCTTAATGGCTGTCAAACATATACTTATCTCTTGCCATCCAAATGTGACACACCACACTTGGCTAGAAAATCCCCCACATATGGAGAAATTTCAATGCCTTAAAGTCACAAGCAACTTGGAATAGTATTCTTCGACACCATTACAGCCTAGCAGAAAAGGAAATCAGCATGTTAGGTTCGGATATTATGGGTGGAATTAGAATAAACTAATCTAATGGTACTTAAATACAATGTTTGGATCATGTTATACGATCCGGATTTGTAAAAAAAGATCATATACATAGTACGGAATAATCTTACGTGATAGATGGCATAGCATTAATTGGGTTAGTATTAGGATCAAAAATAACAAAGGTGGCCCTGATTTGAGGATAGACTGACACCTTATCCCTGATCTTAAACTAAATATTATATACAAGGGATATAATAAAATAAAGACTAACTATTACAGTAAATATGAATTAGATTGGAATCGGACTCAATCAGTTATTCAATCTCATATTGTGTTGTACCAAAACCAAACACCCCTGTAATTTAAACAATCTAGTTCAATGTCCATGGCACAGCCCAACAAGGTCAAACAGATTATTGAGTCCATCTTTTCGGTGGCTCTTGATTTTCAAAGGTTTAACCACTTACCTATAGACTAACTGTTGCCTACTCGTTTGGTAATGATAGTTTAAAGTACCAACTCTAAAGAGTTCTAAAATTAGGTAGGATTCTCAATGAGTCGTGTTTCCTCGTATTTTTAAACTATAGAAATAGTGTCATACTAAAATTTATTCAACATATACATAATTTATTTATAACCGTATCATGTATTAACCATTTTTCTATAATTTTATAAATCGTGGTAAAATTATGAGACCTGGGATAAAAAGAACATGATATTGGAAATAGGGGTATAACTTGAACAGGATGAGAGGTCAATCATAATCCAACCATAAGTATATAATCTTTCATTCTAACCCTATCTCAACCCGAGTACTACCCAAGTTTAATTTGGGTGGGCTCAGGTTGAATTCGAATTATTTAATTCGGGCTGATTTCGAATTGAAAATCGAATTGAACTTGGATTACTTAATTCGAGTTGATTTTTGTCAGTGTATATTTGATTTTTTCAAGTATAAATTTAATTTTTTCGAGTGATTTGAAATGAAGAGCGAGACACAGAGAGAAAGAGAGTGAGAGAGGAAAGTTGAGAATCTAAAACGACTTAGACGAGTAACAATTGAAAGAGGGAGGCTGAGAGAGAGAAAGAGAGGAGTGACGAGTGAGAAAAGAATCTAAAAGTGATGGAGGCGTAAAAGTGAAGACTTGAAATAAAATAAAAGTCTGGACTCTAAAGAATGAAGATAATTACTAACTCTAGTTAAATATATTTATATATATTCAAGTTCAACCCGATTTAATAATTGGGTTCTAACTCGATTTTAATATTTGAATTGAACTCGACAACTCAAGACTTGTGCAAATTCAATTCAAATTGAAGTTTTTTGCGCAGACTAAACCCAAATATTAAAAATTTTAACCTAAGTCCTATTTTTTCGAATTGAACTCAGATTGAATTCGAGTTAACCCATCCAAATTGCACCCCTAATTGAAAGTTATACAATTCTAGAACTACATGTATCATATCGAATTTCTAAGCTACTTTTAGATCCTTTGAAAGGATGGAATTAACAGTGACAAGTCAAAATTGTCCACAGGAGCCCCCAACGGAGGTGAACCTGAACCTGAATATCTCGCTGTTATTTTTTCCTTTGTTTGGAGGCACCTCACTAGAGAGCTATAAAACAAAACAAGCCTCCTGAGCTTAGTTCAAAATCAAATTGTTAAAAATTTATTCAAGATCGACTCATATCATACATAAGAGTGTCAAAATATGACACAACTTGTTAACACGATACAAAATTATAAAGTTTGAATTTTCCTTAAACCACCTGTTTCGTAAACAAGTAGACCCAACACGACATTATTAATAAACAAATCGGATATAAATTAAATCAATCAAAAAAAATACACGATACTACTTATTTATATACCGATTATATACGATCATATACGACACGAACCCAAAATTACACGACTCATTAGACACGACTTAATAAATGAATCGGATATAAATAAAATTTTTTTGACATAAACTCGCTAAAACCCACCATGAAACATAGATTGATAGGAACTCATATCAGGGCTTCAAAATTTTTTAGATTGCCCCTTCAACTATAATATATTTTACATTGCACCACATCTCGGCAGAAGAAGCTCGCTAAGACAAGATGGTCAATGATCTAACCCACCGATCCCAAATAGGAGCAATTGTAACATCGCCAGAAGGTTGTCTTCATGAACCTCTAAGGACCACTTGTTCTGCATTACCACGACAATTGGGAAGCCATATTTATTCAGCTCAAAGTGATCAGTACGAGGCACGCATAATTCTTGTTCTAAAGAATAATAAACACCTCACAAATGACATTTGCACAAAAACGACCCCATAATCATGTCTTAACAAGAAAAAGTAGAGGTCATAAGCGAAAGATAACAATCACATGACTAACTCGGGAGGATAAATGTTGAGCATCGACTGGCGAGGAACTTAAGAGCATGTGCAGTGAAGCAGACCCCAAAGCATCTCATTGTAGCTGACTCGGAAATCACTGATTCACCAAAAAGGAACGGGTCATCAACGACTCTGATACAGATAAAAAAAAAAAAACTGTCTAATATATGAACACGATAGCCAAGAGTACATCAATGGATAACACATGCAGAAAAATTCTGAAACATATCACAACAGTAGTCTGTGTTTTAAATTATATGAAGTCTACAATCTCCTATGTGCTCCTAAAAAAAAGCTGCCTTTACAGCACACAAATAAAAGGAATTATACCATAGGATAAATATTCTGATGCCTATATTAAGATTGAGACAGAACTTGTGGAATGACAATTTTTTTTTTCACGTCATAATACAAATTACATCAGAACCGAAACAGTGAAAGTCCATGACATCAATATTGTAAATCTCACAATTGCCAATCATTCAACAGTCAGCTTCTAAAACTAAAATAAGGAGGAACCATATCTTGTTTTGGTTCAATCATTAGTATATGCATTTTTTCAAGTGGTCCATCCAAACTTGAGGGTCAGCAATAACAATGGCTAATTGGCAAATGAACATAAAAGGCGGATTTCTAAAAAATTGAAGTACAAAAGAAACTATGACTCAGACAACTCGACAAGACATCCCTGAGTCAACCATGAGCCAGGTGAGACTCGTGGTTTACAAGAAACACAAAACAGTATGGGAACGGAATGGGCCAAGTCATATTGGAATAGTCGGTTCTTTGAACTATGTTGGGTTCATTTAAACACTATCACAAAAGCATATAATTCTTCTACCTTCTTATAGAGGTTGATATGGTACAAGGTCCTAGGTGTTTGTTCGAATATTATAATGCAACACTTAGACAATGAGCAAAAGAGAATTCGGCCAAGTTAAACTCGTATTCTTGCTAAAGACATAGAAAGTTTCTAATGAAAACAAATGAACAAAGGTCATGCTTCAACTTTTAACCTTGCTAAAGGCTCATACTTCTTTCTCACCTTTTAAAGCCAGTGTATTGGAAGATAAGACAAATATATCAATGATGAGAACCACAGAAGAAGGGAATTCCCAGACCTATAGAAAGCATAACCAAAATTAGATGGATATATTCAGTCGTGTTGATACCTATAAAGTACATTAAATGTGACAATGAAGAAACAGAAGGATGTTGCACAGTGGGTTTATGTTAGTTAAGTAACTAATGGCCAAGTACGACAAGAAATCATACCATCATAGCAATAAAAAAGATCTTGAAGTAACTTGAAACAAGGATTGAGAGCAGTATGTCTCTATACCT